AGCTGAATTAGTTAAACAGCACATAACATACCATCAAAGTAAGAACACATCTAATAGTTTTGTGTACTCTTAAGTGAGTAAGTGATAAAGTTATTTTTTTATATAAAAAGTAATAAATATTGATTAGATAATATGTGCTCAAAATAAAATTCTTAAATAATATATTTTATTTAATAGCTGGTTGGAATTTTATTTTGAATTTGTGCAATTGTAAATATTTCAAGAGACCACTGATGATGGATACTTGGCAATATCTAAAACAGCTGTATGGTCTGCCGAAGAAAGCATATGATTAAAAATTTAATGTTTCAGTTTATTTATAAAATTTTAAATTACTTATGACAAAAAATTTATTACGTTGCTATTCGTAATATAGGTGGTAAGAGTGAAGAAATTTAAAATTAAAAATTTGCTCACTATTATCCATTTAATGTAACTAAACCTAATTCACAACGATGCTTGCAGGAAATGCAATGAGCCGGATGCAAAGGAAACTTTAGAGCATCTGATGTGTAATTGCCCGGCTCTCTCGAGAACTCGACAAAAATACTTGGGAGCTTTCAGTTTGGCAGGACTGGAGTACATACCTGAGGTTTCTGTTGGAATCTTAATAAATTTTGCTAATGAAACGCGCATCTTAAATGATGCTTACAATCGCTAAAACAAGACTCTGATCTGGTATCGCAATGGACCTTAGTGGTCTACGCGTGGCCTTTATGGCCTGCCAGCATAATCTAATCTAATCTAATACCATTTTTCTATACTAGAATAAATTTTTTATCACAGCACATAAAATTTTAAATTTTATATTAATAATATGTTTTCAATTGGTCAAAATGGACTATGTGATCATGGTATAGCATGTTCAGTGATCCACATATGCCAAACTTCTTAGAACGGTGTTGTTTTTAAAAAGATTACTACAATTTTAAACATCCACAAAATTGGGGCTAATAACTGTGAAAATAATTCCTACTGTGATCATTCGTGCTGGTTTCCGACCAATAGAAGTTGACAGCTACTCACGTATCTATTTACCTACCTATGTGTACTTATAAGTTGTTTATACATGTATATAATCAGGTAAAGGGTAATCTTGATATAAGATCCTATTACAGTTTATGGCTAATTCTTAAACACAACTTTAGTGTAAAAAAAATTGATATTCTGTACACAAACATCCATATCCTTTAAAAAAAAAATAAAACTACCCAGTTAAAATTAAAACATGTTTACATGAATACTTCACATCTTCATTTAATCCAACACCAATTAAATCAATTAATTAAGTATTAAAGAGCAAATAACAAATACAATATAATAAAGATAGAATAAAAAACAATTATTAAATAATTTTTAAATAGTTGTATGTGGGATATGTACGTAATAAATTGACACCGCAACCATGTTAAGTACGCCTCTAAATGCCAATAGATAAATTTGTATCTACACGTACTTATACTACTACTATATGCATTGTAATAAGTGTTTTTCAATATACCAATTTGTTATGCGAATGACTTTAGTATTGTATAGATGTCTATATATATTATATCTATTGTATTTACAAATTTAAACGAGTTGGTTAAATGTTAACAAACTAAAGTAAAGTGAAATGAAATAAAATAAATATTTTTTATATTGAAACAATATTTACACTCTTACATTCGTACACTAAAAATAGTGCTATTAAGGTAAATGATATATGGTAATGGATTATGGCTTGTTTGTTTACTTGTTTTTGTTGTCATTGCTGTCGTTGCTGTTGTTGTATCGTTGTTGTTTATATTGTTGCATTGTTATTCCTTTGTTATTATGTTGCACTTGGTATATATTTGTATTAACAAATAATGCAAAAAAAACAAAAATTCATTTTAATATGTTTTTACTGTCGTTCATTCAATTGCTTGTTTGTATTTTATTACTGGTAAATATCACATTTTTTGTGTATTTTAAATAAATTGTTTATTTAAATATATTCAAATTTTAATATATGAAACGATAAATTCATATTTTGTTAATACTTTACTGTTGCTCTATAATCTATATGTATTATATTTTTGTTGACTTAAGAACTCTTAAATTATTTCTGGTATTTTAGATATTATAAACATTCGATAAATGTATTTTTAATATAATATCTTTAAATATGAGATATTTTCAGAGTTTTCATTTATAAAACAATAAACACAATTTTAATTTTGAAAAAACTAAACATTCATGAAAAGACTTCGTGTTCAATAAAATGTTAAAAATTTTTTAATTACAATCGAAAGTTTGTTTTAGAAACAGATATGCGTAATTGTTTCCTTCGAGTGTTGTATTAATTATTATCATATAATTAATATAAATAAAATATTTTTTGTAAATCAACGCTACATAAGCCATTTTTTTCACAGTTTTCATTTATAACCCGATAAATACATATATAATTTCGGAAAATATTTAGATGAACATAAAAAGAATTTAGAATTCGAATTCGAACAGTAATGAAGATGCAATAACAAAAATTTAATTAATTTTTAATTTTATTTATGATGAATACTGGGCAATATTCAAAACAGCGTTGTATGGTCAACCAAAATCCAATAAATTCAACAAATTTTTGTTGTTGCTTCCTCATTACTATTCGTCATAAGACGCGGTACATTCGAAAAAAAACATTAACGTTAGTTAATTAGTTAAAATTAGTTTTAAAATAAGAACTTCGTAAGTTTTCATTACGAAATTTATATTTATAATTATTTTATAATCAATGTCAAATATTACAAAATTTACTTTTCAATTTATTCTGTACGTATTTATCGAATTAAAAACGAAAAAGTTAACTTTAAATAACTTTCACTTCAATATATTATTTTGTGTTGAAGAATGTTACCATATATGCACTCAGACTTATCACTTAAAAGAGTTCGAAGGAATAATATTAGAATCACTCAACGAGCACATAGTCATATTGACATCCTATCCATCACATTTGATAAGAGATATAAAAATCTTATCCATGTTCGGCAGGATTAAAAATCTATGCTATTATTTAAAGGTGAATGGGTGGGTCCATATTTATGGAGACGACTTAAAATTAGCATATAAATGTGAAATCCGTATATTTTCAATAAGAACCTCGAAACTTTAACTTCTAAGATAAATCTCAAAGATTAGTATTTAGTGCTGTTGAAAAGCAGCGAGATTGCATAATTAATATACTACTAAATAATAGGGTAGCAGTTTCCCACCTATATTCTTAGTACGACAGTTTCGTTTATATTATTAGATGGTTATAGTGCTAACATAAAATTGAATTCATCCATGAAGCAGTTTATATGTACATAAAATTAAGGACATTTTATTATAAGTAAATATTTAATATTCTTCTTTCGATACTTAGCACTTCAGCGACTTGATAGCACTGTAATTGTGTACTTTCTGTACCACGATATAGTAAGTTAGGTTATACCGTTGATCGCAAGGGATCCACTTAGGCCTATAAATTTGCTTTTATTAAAAACATTTAAAAAAGTATGTTTGCTAACATAACTAGTTACAACAAAACTAAGGAGTAATTTGCCTTTGATGTCACCATACATTTTTACTAAAAGATTTTTAAAACTTTTATTTGACAACAAATGACAATTCATTCTTGTGGCTGTTTCCTAGGTGTTCGTCAGAGTAGGTCTGTGGTATTGAAAAGCCTGCTAGCTTTCTCGTTTATATTCCAACTGGGACCGCTTAGAATAAGCTTTCGCTTGGTGTTTAATTTTTTTAGCCATTGTTGAAATGTGAAGATCTTCATTAAAATCTAAACGTGCCATACGACCTTAACGATATTTTGGAAAATTTTATTTTGAAGCTGTTAATATTGCTTGCGGTTGGCCGTGCCCCACATTTGTGCATCAATAGGTTCAATAATTAATAAAATATTTTCGCTAAGCGTTTATAAATAAATCTAGTTTCATTGTCCTAAGTTTAATAACGAGTAGTGACAAACTTTCTATATTTTTTATTATAAGACATTATCTGAGCTGTCAGGATGTGGACTCTAAAGTATTATTCGAATATCTTTTGTGTCAGTTTGTAGTTTTTCTACTTAAAGAGTAATTTCTTTGAAAAATTTATATTATTAGTTATTGACAGAGCTTGGTACAATCATTCAATAATATATAAGCTATCATTGTTTTTTTTATAATTTATGTAAATATTAGATAAAAACTTGTTGAAATTAAAATGAATGTTTGAAAAATTTTTATATATCTTTAAAACTATTCACATATTAATAATAATATATTTCTGTCTGTGTAGTTTTCTAAGACACAGACTAGATGGATAAGTGTGTGGTTCAAAATTCAATTTTATATTATTATTATCTTCATGGCTTCTTATTTTCTATGTACTGTATAATAAAATACATACCAACAACTTACAAAGTAAAAAATCAGAAATAACATAAACAACAACAATAAGTAAGCAACATGAAAATGTTGTCGACAACAGTGAAACGTGTATCGCAATAATGAAAAGAAGCTCACTGGGGTAAAGTTAATTTAAAATAGTGAGGAAATAATTTTTTTTCGTTACATATTTACAAAAAATTATCAAAATCGAAATGAAAAACAATAAAAATTATAATGATTTTATTTCAATAACAGTGAAACTATTTACAAATTTATACAAGGATATTGTGCATTGTAAGGAGAACACAGTTAAATCCGGAATAAAGGAGTGAAGGATGTAGGTGCTATGTTGGTTACTGGTTGTTGGTTGAAGCAAGCGTAAATAAAATATTTACACTGCATTTTACTCATTCCATTTACATTTACATTTATATTTTATTTTATTTATATTTGCTTAGAGGTAAATTGAGTTAAAAGTATAACAAAAAAAAAAATAAGTTGGTAGTAAAACTTAAGAAAGGATTTACAAGTTGAAAAGTATTATTCCAAAGAATACTCGTTCAGAAAAAAAACCTTGGATAGAAAATGATTTGAAAAAGTATAAATTACCTGTGCAGGAGCAACAGCTGCGGGTGGTTGCTGTTGTCTTGGTTGCTGTTGAGCTGGTTGCTGAGTTGGCTGACTATAGTATTGACCCTGTGGAGGTTGAGGTTGTGGCTGTGGTGTAAATTCCCTTATGATTCTCTCCTCCGAGACTGGTGGCCAAGCAACACGTTTATAACCTAAATTTTTGTTAAAATAGTGTAAAGAAAGTAGAAAAAAAAATGGTTAATAAATAAGTGTTTTGAGGAAAACAATGCGAAAAAGTACAATTTTTCAAAAAAGTAATAATTACTAAAAAAGTATTCATTCACTCGCTCATAATCCACACAGAAACAATTCATTTTGTTTGTTATTTTACTATTTAAATTTCTGTTTTTTCTATTTACTTTCTGTTTTTATTTTTAATTAACACATAAAAACATTTTATACACTTTTTATGCATTGTTGCTTTGTTTGGTACTGAAAAAGCGGCTAAATTAGTGTGGAAATCCTACAACTTTATTAGTTATTTTAGATGGTTAAAATTTATGGCAAATAAGCCGAATTAGTTTTATATAACTTTTGTTTTTTTTTTTTTTAAATTTACATAATGGCATTGATGAATTGGTTTTTATGAAGGATTTTAGTTTTTAATGTAAATGTAGAGGTAGTGTAATATTTTCTATTTGAAAAAAGGAAAATGTTATTAAAATTTTAATAAAATGCATTTTTTATATTAAAAAATGGAGGTAATCAAAATTCGCGGTTATTTATAAAAAATGTTGGAGAATAAATAAAACAATAGACTAGTACAAAACTAATGTTCTATAGAAAATATATTTAAATTTTATATGTTGTTTTTGTAAGGAAAATATACGAGAAAACGTTGAAATGAGGTATAACAATGAGTTATATCAGTCAATGAGATGCCTTAATTGAGTACATAGAAAAGCATAGACTAAAATACACTAGTCATAGTATATAGATACCACAAAGTCAGTGGTGTATTCAATGGGGGATATCGCGTGCATACACTTAAAAAAATTTTTTTGGTTGATTTAACCAAATTTTAACTAAATCTCAGGTCAAAATATCACTCATCAGGTTGGTTCAACCATATATGTTAATTTTCATATCTTCTTTACCATATGAGCTAAAATTTTTTTAACAAAATGATCAGGTCAAATTAACCTGTATCTAGTAAGACCATATTTTTCTGACTGTAGAAAAAATATAATTCAAATATAAAAAAAGAATTCCTTTTATAAAAAAAAGGAAAATCCTATGTGTTACAATGATTTTAGAGGAAATGGTTTTTTACACAATCGAAAAATCATAGATATAACTTGTTTTTTTTTTTCGATTGTACTACGATATACTTTACTGAATATACGTCTGTTAAAATTTTATTTATACTGTACTTTGCACATATAATCTCGACACCGTAGCTGTGGTGGAATCGATATTACTCTCTTTCTCTTAATCTTAATTTTATAATTTGCCATAATTCTCTATATAATATGCTCTTGAAGGAAATAGCTTCTTTCATCATATATAACCTTAAAAATTAACTTTAATATGTAATTATTATAGAAATATTAATAAATACAAAGCGTTGCACGATGATTGTAAATGGACAGTTGTAATCCGTCTCAGACAGATATAGTCTGAAAAATAGAATTAAAAATAAAAATATAATTTCTCCAATATATTTAACACTACACCCTTTTAAACTATTGTAAAAACTGTTTTATTTCAGTGTAATATTGTAATATTACCTAAACAATAATCATTAGAATATACTTTTTTTTGGAAAAAAAAAGATTAAAAAAAATCTTTTGGTATTTAATATCAAAAGTAATTAAACTGCAATAATAAATATCAGACGTACATAAATGAGCAATTAGCAACGAATTATTACCTGAATGTGCAATTATTGAAGCAATCATTATTAATTAAAACATAACTTAAAAATGCCATAAATAGTGAATAGTTTCATGAATATTACAACACCTTCGAATTTTGTAATAAATCTGTAGTTATTGTAATTTATGTACTTTTAGTCTAATTTCCAGCTTAATTATACACCCGCACTAACGTATTGGGGCTGGAGTTAGTTGCGTTGTGTGCATTCCTCTATAAACCAAACTATTAAATAACATTTTTGTGTAATTTACGATTTAACTGTTTTTTCAATACACAACATAGGCTGCCGCAGTAAACGATAATTTATTATTAGACTTGCAAAAACTTAGAGAAAAAGGACGTATGCTTAGGAAAAAAATCCTAACTTGTCCGAAACATTAAGGCCAACTGCTTAAAACCATAACAATAAATTTCACAAAACAAATACGCATCATAAAAACGCAAATATACGCAAAGGTCCTAGGTGCACATATGTATGTATGTGTCAGGCTATCCAAATACTCGTGCATAAAAATGGCCTCAGGATATGCCAGCACATGTCTTTGTGTTTATGTGATTATGGGTAATCAAATGCGTGAAATATTTCAGAAGTGTAATTTTTAAGTATTAAATTATGATTAATATAGAACGAACGTGATTAGAAATCAAAATATTTTATGTACGAAATAATATTTACAGGGTTATGCTAGTTTTCTTACCTTGATTCATTTAATTTTTTTTAATTCATATATTAAAAATTAATTTAATTTTAAATATTGGGATATGTTCAGCAATGTTATACTTATATAGTATGCGCTGACATTCTACCTTGTGAATTCATGGTAATTCGTTATATAACAATATTGACATAAATTACAAAAAAATCAAGCTCCATACGTATTTTATTATGCTCGTATTGCTCTATTGTAGAGAAGATTTGACAATAGCGAACAGTGATGAGTAGGCATTTGAAGCAATCAATAGAAAAATTCTTGAAAAATGTATGGTTCCATAAGTGTTGGTGACGTGTGTCAAATTAGATGGTGCGATTAACAGTGCACGGAAATGATCATAGTCAACCATATAAATATTCAACGATTTTCATAGCTTGATCATGTCGTATAAATGAATGAAAATGCTTTGTCTAGAAAGGTAGTGAAAGTTATTGTTGTTTAAGTTGTAAGGATAGCAGCCTGTTTCCACTGTTTATTCCAATTCATTTAGATTAAAATATCATAAAATCTTCTTTTTTGTTACGAGTGAACTTAATCAAATAGAAAATGAGTGTGATTTTATTGCTGATGACAATTTTCCATCTTATATTAAATTAGATTTTATTAAATTAAATTAAATTCTATGAAAAGTTTCTACTATTATCTTAGTAGAGAGAAATAATACGATCAAAGAATGTGCTTTTTGCTACAATTAAGTTTTGCTGAAACATTTAGCCTTTTAATAAAAGTCAGCTGTTCCCCCGTTTCAGAACTCTTGCTACTGGATTCTGAAGCTCTCACTGAAAAGATATGGAATTTCACTAAAACTGTCATTACCTTTCAAGCAGAGAGTATACTTTATAACATCAGACACACCTATTTGTTACAATAACAGTATTGGCTAAGAACTCCTAGTATTAGATTAGCTTGAAAGATCACTCTGTAATATCTTTTTCCTTGCAAAGATAATGCGCCATAAAGAATTCCACTACAAATTTAGTGCTCTTTCAGGAAAATATGATTTTATTTCACGACAGATAAAGAAGGTAAAGAATTCTACTTAAAGTGTCATTACCTTCCACTTAGAGACGATATTCTGTCACCTAAGACACACAGACATACAGACATTGTAGCAATCACAGCGTTGAATAAGAAATTTTAGCAAGAAATGAGTTTTAAGGTTCTCATTGCGATATCCTATTCATTACAAAGATAAAGAGACCAAAAGAATTCTATGGTCTTGATTCTATTAAATTTGTTATTTCCATTCAGGGAGAGATGGATGTTCCGTTATCTTAAAAACATCTCTCTTCTTGTAATCGTAACATTGGTTCTACCTATGTAATTTGTTACTATCTATTACTGTTTGCTTGGTTGCAGAGGCATGTCAGTAGATATCTTTTCTCTGTCCATAAGTGGCGATTTTTCCTCGTTATAAAAAAGAAAATAAAAAAAGAAATGGAAAAAACTAATTTCATTTCATCGAATTTAAATGATTTATCACATATTTTGTTATTACCAATAAACAGTCTGATAAACTGTTAAAAAAATGCTTTCCTTAAAACCCGTTTCTTATGGAGGTTAGCGCTGGGCCAGAGTTCTTTGCTACTACTACTGCTATTAGTACTACTACTACTACTATTTTCTCTTTAATTATTTATAATAATTTTATTCTTGGTACATTTCCAAATCACAATTAAGTTTAAATAGTTATTATATATAGTTTAATATATAGTTTGTTATTATAGTTCATGATAATTCCGACAGATGTAGTTTAAAAAGTAAATAATGAAATTAATCTCTTATTTTTGATACTATAACTCTTTAAATCATTGTAAAAATTGTTTTATTTAATTGTTTTGTTAGACAAATATCATTATATTTTTTTTTTACATTAATATTGTAGTTATTATTATAGTTCATAATAACTCCTTATGAACTATATTTTTACTGTAGCAAATATTTGCAACAGCCTGTATCTGAATCATATAAAAAAAATAATATTAAAAAAGGTAAAAATTAAAGAAGTAAGTAACAAATACCACTGGAAGATCAATCGTCAAAAAATTGAGCAAAAAAATACACACTCCTTACATCAGTAAAAAAAAAATATCAATAAAAGTGCAAAAATTGTTGGTAATGAACGAAAAGGCACACAACAATAAAACGACATGTGCAATAATGTGTAAAATATGCGTACTTATGTGCTAATGTGTATGTGTGTTACTGAAACAAAATTTGTAATATTAGATACGTACACCGTAGCTGCCTCAATATGATATTGGTGAGCAACTGGGAATCATTGGAATCAATGAATGAAATGCCTAAAAGTGGTAATTTGCGGATATCCGTTTTGTTTTCATATCGATGAACGTGCTTTGTACACATAATATGTATGTTTGTTTTTGTTTTTGTTTTTGTTTTTGTTATACGTAAAGCTATTTACACATACAATATAACAAAACTTATACGCACAAACCGACACGCATACAGTATTCATGTAGAGTGCGGTAGAACAAAGCTCAAACCCCAGTTGTTATGTATGAGCACGTGCTCAAATGTATGAGGTATTAAAGGATATT